TTATGGGCTTCATACGAAACGTCAGTACACAGGTTGATTGGTTAGTTTTTTTTTTCAATAGGTCTTGCTTTCAACTTGGACCAGAGTGAAAATCCAGACTACACTTTGTTTTCAATAGAGTGGGGAAGGAATAGAAGCTTTCTCAGGTTTTCAATATTGTCCTCTGTTCCCAGCTATTGTTTATGTATCGGTTTTACTAACACTGGTCTAGCTCAAGTCACGGCAATTCAATACATCTGTATGTCCACTTTTAGTAGAATAATAAACAGTGCAATATTGCATTCTTAAAACAGAGTGTATTCACGTGTCATCAATTTCATCACAAATTTAAAAAAACCTGGCCCAACTGGTTGCTCCATAGAAGAAATACTGAGAGAAAAAAGCATAACAAGGTTTATTATAAAATATTTTATTTTTTTAATGTAGGATTGAAGAGTCTCGAAGATATTTTTGCAATACTGTCAGCTTTCCAGAGATGTTTGCTGCACATCGTGTCACCTGACTGCACATTGACATCACTGAGAGCCTGGCTGCAGGAGCACATGCAAGCAGAGCCCTTGAAACTCATGCCTGAACTTATGATGTGCACAAGACCTGGATCCCTATGTGGAACTCTCTTTTCTTGGCATGCAAAGACCCCATGTGAAGGAAAGCTAACTATATTTTATAGGTATTCTTAACATAATTATGTTTATAATATTTATGTCAATTTTGTTTGTACATAAAAGGTATGTTTAGGTTAATTGAAGACTTTATAGGAAAAGCACAATAAAAACTGGCATATCGCTTTGCTGACTGTTAAATGCGTGCTTTGCCAGGGGCTGACTGTTAAATGCGTGCTTTGCCTGTAAACAGTCAAAGTGGCATTGAAATCAACTCCCTGGAGTTCTGTACAACACCCCTGCCTCAGACAATATCAATTGTTAACAATGTAGACACACTACATATGTGTAAACCAGAGTAAAGGAATGTATAGATGTGAGATAGGCAGAAATTTAAGTGGACCTATCAGTTACTTTAAACGTCTACATAAATTCTGGATACATTCATAAGTTCTATACACATACATTCTGGATCATAATATAGAGCAATTAGAGATGCACAGGAATTGAATTTTCAGACCGAAAACCGAAAATAAAAAAGTTTTCAAGCCGAAATCGAAAATTATATTTTTTCCTAACCTTAGTAAAAATAATTTTTTAGTTTTTTATTTATTTTTAACTTCACTGTTGGGGGCTTTGGGGAAATAGAAAAAGAGATTGAGAACACAGAGTCCATTATCTCTTTTTCTGCAATCCCTATTATGAATGGACAGGAAGCCTCTATACTAAATGCTCCCATCCATTCATAATCTGGATATAGTACAGTAGATATAGTTAATGAATGAACAGGAAGTGATGTAGAGCACTTCCTATTCATTCATAATTAGGGGCACAGTATGTCCTCAATTTTTACAAGCACTCCTCGCACAGTCCTGATCGCTGAGCGCTTGTAACCCGCTCTCCATCCTGACTCCTTGTCACAGGAGGCTGAGTGGATGGTGCGGGAGGAGAGCTCGGTCTCCTATGACATGGCTGACAGCTGACTCCTCCCCCACACCGCCGGTTCGGCCACCTGTGTCAGCTGTCTCCTCCCCGCTCTCCATCCTGAGTCTTTGCCTGTCACAGGAGGCAGAGCGGGGCGGTGCGGGAGGAGAGCTCAGACTCCTGTGACAACGCTCTCCACCCCACCCCGCTCGGCCTCCTGATTGTTTCTCTCATTCCCGCTGGGCGCTGCTCTGTGTCAAATGGGACTTAGAGCAGTGACCAGCAAGGAGGAGAGAAACTAAGGATGCACCGCATTTTCAGCCAAAATATTTTACTTTTTCCCAAATTTCGGTGCATCCCTAACAGCTATAGTATCTTTTTTGCTTTATGCTTATTCTGGGTCTGTGACTCTGAAGGCCAGAACCAAGTTCTCAGAAGGTTAGCAAGAGTCGTCCCCAAATTTTTCTTGTGGCAGGTTGTACTAAAGTTATAAAGGGGGAATTAATCCTTAAAAAATATATTTCTCCTCTTTAAATGTAGAAAATGCATACAACACTTTTCCATTTATTTATTTTTAACAGGCTTGCAGGGGAATGACATGGCCGTTGAACTCAGTTGGCCTGAAGACAAACTATTGCGAAACTGACACTTTCTATGTAAACATGTTATTATAAAATAGCCAGCAACTTAGTCATGCACACATTTATATGTGATCTTACGGTGTCTTAAATTAAAATAGCACCTTCAGCTAAATCATGGTTGCAACAAGAATGGATAAATTAACACGGAGGAAAAAAAGAAAATTATTTATCTAT